CCAGGCTGCCTCTCTCAGACCACCTCTCCCTCAGGAGATCAGCAGGCCCATCCCCTCCCAGCCCTGCTGGCCGACCCCCACCCCATCCCCACGTCCCTCAAGAGTACCCACCTGATGTCCCGGAGCCCAGGAAGAAGGCTCAACCTGGAGGGCCTGCACCAGCTGGGGCCTTCGCACGATGCCCACCAGGATCTGGGACTCTGACAGGTGGAGAGGGAGAGGGAGGGAGGCGCGTTACAAAGAAACAGGCCTGAGGGCAAAGCTTCTGGAAGCCCCCATGCTCCTACCCCAGCAGCTGCCCAGGGGCTGCCTTACAAGCGCCCAGCCCTCTCTCTTTTGACAAGTCAATCACCCCAAGGGAGGAAGGCGGTGATCTCCATTTTACTGATGAGGAAACTGAGGCTCAGGCAAAGTGACTTGCCCAAGGTCACACGGTTGCTTGCTAAGCCACAGAGCCTGGATGCAGATCCTGTCTGCCTCGCAGGTCCAAGCAGGGGGCAGAGGGCATCACACCCTCCCCCCACCCCCACCGACTTCCTCCTCCCTTCTGGCTGGCACCTGTGCTCTCCACCAGGGGATACTCGGCTACGTCTGTGGAGGTCACGACCTTGACCACCTCCTCTAGTGGCATGTCCTTGGCCAGCATGGTGATTCTGCGGTTCATGAAGTGCTCCACCCTCACGCAGTGGGAGCTGTGGGCAGAGGGCCTCCCATCAGGTCCCAGAGTCAAGGATGTCAGACCCAGGCCGGGCAGGGGGATGTGGTGGGAGCTTTGCTGGAACCAGAGACCCACGGCTCTGGAGTGTGGGCAGGGCTGGAGAGGTTCCTGGAATGAGGGACGCCTAGAACCTATTGTGGTAACCTGGGGACCACGTCCCTGATGGCCCAGGTCCGAATCCCCAGTCCCCTGGGTCCGTCCCCCTGTCCCCCAGACCAGCTCCACTTGGGTCTGTTTTACCCAGTTGCCTTCTCTGGAGAATTCCATTTGATTAAAAAGTGTATGTTGCCCCCAAGGAAAAACCTCAAAGTTTGAAAACCACTGGGATAAACAGCCCCATTTTACAGATGGGGAAACAGGTTCAGAGCAAGGCAGCAGCTTGCGTGTGCTTGGATCCTGGCCTCAGACCCAGGGACTCTCAGAGTCTCTTCGGTCTGCTTCTCTGGCGCCAGAAGCCGCTCTGGTACTGTCTGGTTGAGTGAAGACCTCAAAGCCCATTTCTATCCTCGTTCTACCTCCCGCTCCCAAAGTCCCAGCGAGGACTCAGGAGTGGGGAGAGGGGCGGAGAACTCTGGAATCTGATGCTGAGTCTCCACGTCACCTGGAGCAGGACACGGCCCCTCTCTGAGCCCCGGCTTCCTCACCCTGCACACAGAACAATATTCATGCTCCTGCTGTGAGGACCGGCTGACCGCTAGACAGACACTGAGGCCTAAAGGCCAAGGCCTTGCCCAAGATCACCCGGGGCACTGGGGAAGTGGAGACCGGAGCACAGCTGGTGTCACCCCTCCCAGCCCCCATGTCCAAGGTCAGTTGCGGTGGCGTTTTTTGGAGGTGCCCTCCACCCCCAGCCAAGCCCAAACACTGTGACCCCCTTCAGCCAGCCTGAGGTGGGCGCTGCTCACCCAATGTCGCGGCCGAGGATCCGTGGCAGGTATGGCAGCTTCTTAATGAGGATGGTGCCTTCATAGAGGGAGGGCTGGCAGCTCTGTGCAATGGCGTTGGCTGCCAGCACCGCCATCAGCACGGGCAGCGCATGCACTATCTGGCCAGTCAGCTCGAAGGCCAGCAGGGCCGTGGAGATGGTGTGGGTCACAGCCCCTGAGAAGGCCGCAGCCCCTGCAGGGGCAGAGTCAGGCAGCGTGGCTCAGGCCAGGAGTCAGGGGGCCAGCGGTCAGGAGCCGGCCTCATGTGAAGGCATAACTAGCCTGGCTGCGGCCAGGGACTAAGGTAGCATTTGTAAGAGGCCACAGTCTGGGCACTGTGGGAAGTGCCCCAAGGCCCAGGCTTAGTGAGAAGAGAGGTATAAGGGAGGGCACAGAGCTGGTGACGGGACAGAAGCCATGAGGGAGCGACGGAGCTCAGGGAATGGTGGGGCTCAGGAGGGACAAGCCCCCACAATGCAGGGCTCGGTGGCTGCTCTGGCCCTGGGGAACCACTGGCCGATTCTCCAGGTCCAGTCCAGCCCCATGACATTGCCCACCCAGCAGGGCTCTGACCCACTCACCTGCCAGGGCATACCCTCCGGGCATGATGGGATTGGTGATCCCTCCAGTCACGATGCCCTCAGGGAAGGTGACAGCAAGAGCCTCTCCCAAGAGGCGCCCGATGGCAGCTCCTGGCCACAGACTTAGGGTGAGGGGGAGCCAGGCTGACCCAGCCCCCATAGCCCTCCATCCCTAAGGACCATCCTCAGTACCACCCCAGAAGAGGGTGAACCAGGAACCATGGCCCTGCCCCAAGAACCCCGAAACTCTCAGAACCTCAGGGCCCCAGACTCACC